AGCCCGCATATTCCCTCACTGGAGAGACAGAAAGCGGGAAATCACCCATGGCTGTGCCACAATCCCTTCTCTATTCTCCTCTTGGAAACTTGGGAACGCTTGCATCCATGCCAAGTTTGAGTTTAGGTTTGTTTGTTTTGCTTTTTTTAAATTTTTTTGAGAGAGACATTTTTGCTATAAGGTGCATGTGCTTGCTGTACAGAGACAGAGAGACAGAAAGCAAGAAATCATCCCTCTGGAGGGATGGTCACGGGGCAATCCCTTCTCCATTCTCCAGTCGGATCTTGGACACACACACGACCAGCATGAGTTTTAAGCCGCGGGGGTCAGGGACTTGAACTGGCAGTCAACCACATGGAAGTCTAGCGATGTAACTATTATGACATCCTGTGGTCCCCGGGGTGAGTTTTAAGTGACCCGGTCTGGACTCTAAAAAACAGTCAACTACTGTGGGAGTCCCGCGACATAACCATTACGCCATCTGCTGGGCCAGCCCCTCAGCCTTTTGAAGCACCTTTTGGGTTGATGTTGAAGCCGCTCACACAGTGCTGAGCCACCCAAAGCAGTGGCGCTTTGCTTCACCCAACCCTCCCCACCCAGATGACAAGCTGATTCCACCCAGGACTGTGCAGCAGCCTGCCCCACCAGGGAGCGAATGGTGCCTTCCAACTCCAGGGCACATTTTCCTAACATAAAACAAGAATCTAGTTGTTCTCAGTGGTGGAGACATTTAAAACTTGTTCTGAATTGACTGAAATTTGTACTTATGAAAGTCAGTCTCACTCCTCAGCACTTACAGCATCTACTTCTCCAGGTGTTTCCTGACTGAAAATAGCCCACATTTACCCTCCAGTGCATTGGAATAATGTGTGAGCCTGTTTTAAGTAAGACTATGGATAAAATTTGGGAGGAGTATAAGCAAGTCCTCAAACCAAACTAGCAGAATATACCTTCTGTGAAATCCATATACATGATCAGATTATGCAACTATGCTTTAGGCCGATGAAGCTGTGCCTGTAAGTTCTCTGGCATACCTGGGTACCAGGTTTGACCTTGAAAGATGGCTGCTGAACATTTTTCACAACTGATTCCATATCACATTTTAGCTCCAACTTTGTACCCTGAAAACTCTGCAAATATTTCTGCAGACCCATTTTATAAGACTTCAAAATCTTGAAACTTCCTGATTGCCACAGACATCTTTCTTTTCTGGTTATCTAGTTTACAGCTGTACCCTAATGTGATGGCTTTTTCCAACAAAAATACCTACCTGGAGCAGCAGTTTAGAAGAACATGCCTTCAGTTGCACTCAACAAGTGGAGTTCTGATTATCCTAAGCACACAGGTCTGTAGGAAGTGTATGTGTGTGAATGTGTGTACTGTGATTTTATCATTTGTATTTTGCAATTTTGTTTTTTTGATCTTGGGGATTTTGGCTGTAAATATGATGCACAGTTACAATTAAAAACAACTGATTGATTTCCAGAAGATCATTAATGTTTTGAAACCATGTAAGTTGTAATGTCTTATATATATACATATTACTGTGAACTACAACTGTTCCTAGGCATAGAATTATAAATCAAGTTAGGATAGATAATTGATGTGATTATGGTAACAGCAAGTCTGTAGTCCTAGATCTACAAATGTGTGGTGAGAAACCAGAACAAACTGGAAACAAGGCCATTGACAAACAGACCCTCTGTAGCCATGCAAGGAAAATACTTTGACTCCAAGCCTTAAAACACACACACGGAATTGGCCCTCACCTTATTCACATAATCAAAGGGCTCTGGGGACCTTGAGCCTCTAAAGAGAAAGGGTCTCTTATGGAGCAGAGACATCAGGGTTTGTCTAAGAGCAATACATGAGTGAGCACTGGGTTAAGCCACACCCCAGTGACACCGCTACATAGAGGAGTCACTTTTGTATCAGTTATTAAAAACAGAATTTGGATCCTTTGGTCAGGTTCCCTCAAATTCTTTTGAAATGTTCATGTTTAACTGCTTGAACTGTTTTGGTAACCCCCTGGCCAAAGGTGCTTATAAGATGTTTTTCAACTTACTTCCAAGGCTGAAGTTTCTGTTTTGAGGAGCTACAAGTTAAATATACATTTATTTTTCAATATAACTTGTTCAGGACATGGTACAAAATACCTTGTGTTTTCATTATTAGAGTTTCTGGAAAGAAAAGGTCTCTTAAAATTGCTTTAGTTTGAACATGCCTTCAGTTGCACATGTTCAATACATAGCATTAACAAACTTAGTTGCAAATCAAATACCTAAGTTATGTCTTTAAAAAAGCATGCTAAGTAAAATATTTGAAATATACCAAGGGAACATACTTTTTAAAGAGACCCAGAAAATGACTACTTTTGGAAACAAAAGCTCCATGATTTCAAGTTGCAACAGTGACAAGAACACACTGAGAGTTCCAATTTCACCCCTCTTTGAATTCCAATTTCACCCCTCTTTGGCCCCAATACCATCTCCCATAAAACAGGAGTAACACTACCTCACATTTACTGTGATGATGAAATGTGATGATGTATTAAAAAATGCCTGGCAAGTAACAGAGACTGAATTTTAATTCCTTTCCCCTTTTATAATTAATAAGAACTTATTAATTTTATATGTATATGCTTAAGACTTATTTATTTATCATTATTATTTTAACTTGCTAAAGGGCACGTGTGCTCAACAGAGAGAGAGAGACAGACAGAAAGAGTGAGAAAGCAAGCCGCTAGGTCTGGGACTCCAACTACAGTTGGCCATGTGGGAGCCCAGTGTTCTAACCACCAAACCACCTGCTGGCCACTCTATGTATAGATTTTTTAAAATAATTATTTTATTTAACTCTATTTATTTGTTTTATTTTAATTTGGCCAGAGAGGGAGAGAGAGAGAGATAAAGTGAGAAAGCAAGACACCAGGTCCAGGACTTGAAACTCAGTTAGCCATATGGGAGTCCAGCACCCTTGACCACCACACCACCTGCCGGCCCCTGTATGTGTAGATTTTTATACATCACATTTCTTTAAACAGAGTTTACGCATCAGTATGTGTCCTTCCAAAATTCTTATGTTGAAACCATAAATCCCAATGTGACTATATTTGGAGATGAAGTCTTCAGGTGATATAGGTTAAATGATGTCATTAGGGAGAGACCCTAATCCAGTATTTGGTGGCCTTGTAAGAAAAGGAAGAACAGGACAGCTAGTCGCATGGTGGTTAAGGTAGCTAGACGCCACATGGGCAACTGAACAAAGTATCAGACCCAGTAGCTACAAAAACACACTGGGCGTGTGGTATGTGTGCCCAAAATCCTAAGAGGAGAATGGAGAAGAGACTGTGGCATGGTCATCCTCCCTGGGAGAGGTGTTTTCTCACTTTCTGTTTCTCTTTAGTGAGCACATAAGCCCTATAGCAAAAATAAATAAATAAATAAAAATAAAAAAGAGGGAGAGAGAGACTTCCATTTTTCCATTTCTCAGTGTACGTACAAAGAAGTCATGTTGAGTACACAGCAAGATGACAGCCACCTACGAGCCGTAAGAAGCCTTAGAATGGAAACACCCTGATTTTGAACTTCTCAGCCTCCACAACTGTGAGAAGTAAATTTCTGTTGTATAAATCACCCAGTCTATACTTGGTTATGGCAACTTGAGTACACTAACACAACTATAATGAGTTTTCACCCCCTCATCTCAATAAAAAGAATATCGCGATTGAAAGAAAAAGTAAGGATGATATAAAACGAGCTATAAAGTATTTTATTTTCCAGTTCACTCATGATATTTTAAATAATAATATTCAGAATGCTATGGATTTAAGTATGAATTATTAGCCTGATTAATTTTCCACCTGTCCCTAAGAAATCAGTAAATGTTTAAAGTTTGGTATTGGACAATGAATTCACAAAAAGTCTTACATATCCTAGAACTTTCAAGTATTTAAAAATATAATAAAACTGCTAACAAAAACCTTTTAACAAATGTTAACACTTAATGGCTATTTCTTGAAATCTTGGAAAAATTAATTAATTGTATAATTAAGTGTTAGTTTTCCAAATTATATTCAGAGTTCCTATATTACCCCAGCTTAAGTGTCTTAATACAGGGTTGCAGCTCAATAGAAACATTCTGAATGAATACTGCAAGCAATAACCAAATGCAAAATGGTTCAAGCTTGACAGACAAATCTGCTTCGAGGATAAGAGTACAGCATGGCAAAGATTTGCATTGAATCTTTTAAAACAGCCTTTTAAATGAACTTTCCTCAAAAAATAGTTAATTCTATATTTTCCTTTAAAAGACATAACAGACAACATAAACCAAAAATGTACTTGACTAAACTGTTTACATGGGCTTTCATAATATAGTTACACACAATTCAGTGAAACGTAGTTGCAACCACACAATCATAAATATTGGTAATTTTCACACTCACCAGTGCTGTAAGGTCAGGGCATAACCAGTTTGTCAATCATCTACCATGAGTAAGGACAAATCCCTTGTTTGTTAGGAAAAGTTGTATAAGATATTTTATTCATAGACATAGTTAACTAAGTAGAAAATGGGGGGGGAGGGGAATGAAAACAAATTTACTAAAATGTATTAACTCTAAATAAAAAAGCAAATTAGATCTTACTCTGTTTCTTTGCACTAAGCATAATTTTCAAAGTGATAACAAAGGCTATTGATCTTATCTATCTTCCCTAAAGGGATTATGAACTTCCTCTTTAAAAAACAGCAACAGTGACTTATGTTTTGATAAAATTTAAATAACAGGTGTAAAATGAAAGGCTATGGAGCCAGCAGATGGCATGATGGTTAAGGTGCTGACTCCCACATGGCTGACAATGTTTCAAGTCCTGGACCTAGTGGGTTGGTTTCTCACTTATTCCCTCTCTCTCTCTGGTCAAATTTTAAAAATGATGATGATAATAATAAATAAAGTTAAATAATTCTTTTTTTGAAAAAAGAAAGGCTATGAAACCCAGTCACATTAAATAATTATTAAGTTTGTGTTAGTCTTTATTAAAACAAAAAATTTTCAGACACTAAAGTACATGATATACAGAAGAATATACAAAAGTAAAAGAAAAGTACATTTCTACTCCACCAGCACAGCAGAGATTCAGCTGGTTATTTTATACTAAATCCAAACGTTTACATCCAGGATGTCACAGAAGTAACTTCTTTTTGTACCTAAAGTAAAGATAAATACATTTAATAGAAGACAGTAGCATTCATTTGTGAATTGCCTAACAGCTTTTGTGTACTAAAATTCCAACCTAAGACACACACACACAGACACACATGATAAATCAAAAGAAATTAGCTAACATAGGCAGCAGATAATTATTTTAGAGATAAGAGAATGTCATCATATAGTGACAGACCTTATAAACCTTCAGCACTAAGCTGAAGGTTTCCTGGTACTGATTCCCATGAAAATTGAACAAAAAATGTCTGTAATTGCCACCTTCCTTGAATACACTTTTAACATAACAATATAACTTAAAAGCTTGTAATTAATAGGTAAATAGTCCAAATCTTGTTTCTTATACTCTACAAAAGTGATATTTTTCTTGTGACATCACAGCCTTGAACAATACTTTTTTTGTGGTCTGACAAAGGGATTAATCAAAATTTTTAAATCGTAGAATATATCTTTGCTCAAAAGTCAAAATCCTCAAGATTCAATATAATAATAATAATATCAGAATACTCTAATTTTACTTCACTTTGTGCTCCTAGGTTCATAGAAACTCAACTGCTTCAAAAAATACTCCAGTCTCTGGGACCGGCAGTTAGTGTAATGGCTATGTTGCTGAACTCCCATGTAGTTGACCACAGTTCAAGTCCTGGACCTGGTGTCTTAAACTCACCCCACTGGGTGCGTGTGTGTGTGTGTGTGTGTATGTGTGTGTGTGTGTGCCCAAGATCCTGAGAGGAGAATGGAAGAGAAGGGATTGTAGCATGGCCATTTCCCCTGAGGGGTGATTTCTCGTTTTCTTTCTCTCTGTCTCTCTCTTTCTGGAGAGCACATGCACCCTATAGCAAAAACCTCTCTCAAAAAAAAATATATATATATACATACACTCAAGTCTCTGACTTACACAGTGCACAGTATTGCAGATGACAGCTTGAGAAACTTGGCTCATTCTGATGCTGGGATTTAAGTTATTTTTCATTTTTGGGGGAGAGGATTTTGCTATAGGGTGTGTGTGCTTGCCAGAGAGAGAGAGACAGAGAGACAGAAAGACAGAAAGCGAGAAATCACCCCCTGGGGGGACGGCCAAGCCTCAATCCCTTCTCCTCCAATCTCCTCTTGGGATCTTGGGCACGCATGCACACGCGCCCAGCGTGAGTTTGAGCCACCAGTTCCGGGACTCAAACCATGGTTGACTACATGGGAGTTCAGCGACATAACTGGACATAGCCATTACATCATCTGCTGGTCCCCAGGACTTAAATTCCTATCTTCCTCTGGGAAGACTACAAAGGGTCCCCTATCTGCTTGTAATTAGAAAGAAAGTCACGGCGGGGACTCTACCAAAATCCACTCTATATTTTGGGCATGCTAACCAAAAAAAAATACAGAAATTCATTTGTTGAAGTTGTTTGCTTTTTAAACAATCATAGTCACAAGAGTTTCCTTAACTTTTATACTACCAATTAAAATCTTTTTCAGCATGTCATTAAGAAAATAAATTATTGCTTTTCAGTTACCTTATTGAGCTCTGGAAACAGTTCCTGTATCACAATGTCCAATAAAACATAAGTCAGCTAAAGCACCAAAAAAAAAAAAAAAAGAATAAATTTTAAGGCACTAGACACAAAAAACAACAAAAATGATAAACACAAAATTCAGGATGGTGGTTACCTCTAAATGAGAAGACAGACTTGGACCGACAATGTAAAACACAAAAGTAGCTTCGATAGTGTCAATAATGTTCTATTAAAATGGGTTGTAAGTACATGTGTGTGTTTGTGAACATTTTATTATTGTGCCTCATAACATTTTTATGAACTTTTTTTTTAAGACAGGTTTTTTTTTTTTTGCTATAGTGTGCGTGCATTGGCCAGAGAGACAGAGACAGAGGAACAGAAAGCAAGAAATCATTTTCCAGATGGGGATGGCCACCCTGCAATCCCTTCTCTTCTGTTCTTCTCTCAGGACTTTGAGTATGCAAGTACATATGCCTAATGTGAGTTTTAGGCTGCCAGGTCTGGGACCCAAACTACTGTTGACTATGTGGGAGTCCAGCGACATAACCATTACACCATTGGCTGGTCCCTTTATGAACATTTTAAAGAAACCATCAAAATACAATACTGCAACTGTATTAAGATCTTAAGATAATATAATATATAGAGACTATAAACATAAAAATGTTAACTGGTTATCCTATGTGACTTGAATGGTAGATTTACTGATTTTAAATCTTTTACTTTATTTCATTAATTTTCTATCTATTCCAAATTTTCTACAATGACTATGTAAATTTAAAATCAAAACAATTCATGTTATAATGAAAAAAAGTAATCAGCAACAAAGAGTTAACACAAATAGAACTTTTTTAAATAAAAGAATTATTTTATTCATTCATCCATTTATTTTCATTTGACCAGAGATAGACACAGACAGAGAGTAAAGCCACCAGGTCCAGGACTCAAACAGTGGTCGGTCATGTGGGAGTGTCCAGTGCTTTATACACCATACCACCCGCTGGTCCCAGAACTCTTTTTCTACCGGAATGTTTAATTACATTGTCTTAATTTAGTACTGTGTCCCTTATACAGCTAGACACTCTACTAAAGTCACCTTACTGTGTCATTCAGCTAGTCGACATTAGTCTACTAACTTTAATGAATCTTACCTGCTTGTTGAGTACTGGCTGCTGTAGACCATCAAAGAGAAGTCTGACACTTTCGTACCTGGTTTCTTCACCGATGCATTTGACTATGAGATCTAAAAAAAGAAAGTCACACATGAAATAATTTTATATTATTAAGTTGCTCACTATAACTAAATCCCTGCCTTGTTTCCTAGAAAGAATATAGAAAATGTAAACCAGTATTTCACAAACCTGTGTTTCTGTAAAAGAGCTCCCTAGAAAAAAAAAAAAAGAGTCCTAAGATCAAGTAGAGAAACACAATATCATGTCTTCCCTTTTGGAGATTCACAATGTACAAAGCATACCCCAGGCTCTAAGAAAATGCTGCAATAAAGAAATCTGCTTATATTATTAAGTGATAATATATGGGGGATGATTTCTCACTTTCTCTCTCTCTGTCTGGTGAGCACACACACCTTATAGCAAAAATCTCTTAAAAAAAAGGATCAAACGAAATTATTAGAGATGAAGGCCTTAATACAGGAAATCAAAACCTCCCTTTAAAGTAGTAAAAGCAGATTAGATCATGCAGAAGATAAAATCTCAGATGTAGAAGACAAAACCTCTGACCTAGAAAAAAAATCACCAAAACGAATAAACACACACACACAATGAGGATAATATATGAGAAATATTAGATACCATTAAATGGTCAAAAATACAAATAACTAATATCCCAAAAGGAGAAGAAACTTATAAGGGAATTGATAATTATTCCACAAAATCCTGAAAGAAAACTTTCCAAGTCTAGAGAAGCACTCAAACATCCAGACCCAAGAAATACAAAGGACCCCAAATGGAATCAACCCAAGAAGATTCTCTCCAAGGCACATCATAGCCAGATTGGCCAAAACCACAGATAAAGACAAGATACTAAAAATAGCAAGGGCACAGACATCAAGTTACTTACAAAGGTTAACCTATCAGACTAACATTGGGGCCTCTCTTCATCAGAAACAATACAAGGAAGGAAAGAATGGGGAAATATATTCAAAGTGTTAAGAGAGAAACAATTTCAACCAAGATTACTATACTTGGCAAGACTGTCCTTCAAATGGGAAGAAAAGATAAAAACATTCTCCGATAAACGAAACCTGAAAAAAATTACCAACACCAGACTAGCTCTTCAAGAAATTCTAAAGGGAGTGCTATACCAAGGAAAACTAAACAGGCAGACAGAAATAAGAGAACAAAAAACAACCAAGCCAATGGCCAACTTAATGGCAGGGATAAAGTCCAGAAATATTGATAATAACACTGAATGTTAATGGATTAAATTCTCTACTCAAAAGACACAGATAGGTTGAATGGATTAAAAAACAGTAACCCTCTATACATTTGGTGCCTACAAGAAATGTATCTCATAGAAAAAGACATACATAGACTAAAAGCAAAGGGCTGGAAAAAAGGTATTCCATGCAAACAGAAACCAAAAAAGAGCTGGAGTTGTGATACTGATTTCAGACAAAATAGGCCTTTAAAGAGAGACAAAGAAGGACATTATATAATAGTAAAAGGGCTAATTCATCAGGAAGATATAACACTTATAAATATCTATGCACTCGGAGCACCCAAATACATGAAGGAAAGACTGCCAGATCTAAAAGGAGAGAGAGGCTGCAACTCACTAATTGTTGGGTATCTCAACACCCCACTATCTCCTTTGGACAGATCATCTCAACAAAAAATAAGCAAAGAGATATAGGATCTAAATGATACCATAAATCAAATGGACATCTATATGACCTTCCACCCAAAACCCACAAAATGTACATTTTTCTCACCCCTGCATGCACCCTTTTTGAAGACTGACCACACGATGGGACCAGCAGTTAGCGTAATGGCTATGTCGCTGGACTCCCATGTAGTCAATCGCGGTTCGAGTCTCAGACCTGGTGGCTTAAACTCACACCAGGCGTGTGTGCTTGTGTGCCCAAGATCCCAAGAGGAGAATGGAGGAGAAAGGACTGCGGCATGGCCACCTCCCCTGAGGGGGGGTGATTTCCTGCTTTTTACCCCTCTGTCTTTCTGGCAAGTGCACACACCCTATAGCAAAAACCTCTCCAAAAAAAGAAAAAAAGATTGACCACATGATAGGGCACAAAACAAGCCTCTACATATTCAAAAGCATAGAAACTATATCCAAAATCTTCTCCAACAATGAATTAAACTTGTTATTAATTTCAGGAAAAAAAAAACATGAAAATACACAATCATATGGAAACTAAATAATCTACTCCTGAATGGCTCCACAACTACTGAAGAAATTAAGACTGAAATAAAAAGATTCATTGAAACCAGTGACAATGAGTACATGAGTTTACATAGTCTATGGGACATGGCAAAAGTAGTCATAAGAGGGAAGTTCACAGCAATTTGTGCACATACAAATAGAAAAATGGCAAATAAACAACCTAACATTGTGCCTCAGAGAATTGGAAAAACAACAACAAAAATTCAAAAAATGCCAAGAGAAAAGAAATAATAAAGATTAAAGCAGAAATAAAGGAAATAGAAAATAAACTATACAGAAAATAAACGGAACCAAAAGCTGGTTCTTTGGAAAGATAAACAAGATTGACACACAATTAGCTAGACTAGTTAAGAAGAAGAGAGAAAGGAGCCAGATAAATCAAATTCACAATAAAATAGGTGATATTACAACAGGCATGATAAAAATACAAAACATCATTAGAGGAAACTATGAACAACAATATGCAACAAAGAAAACTTGCATGAGATGGACAAATTCCTGGACACGTATAATCTACCAAGATTGATCATGAGGACACAGAAAGCCTAAATAGACCCATAATAAGCAATGAGACTGAATTAGTAATATCCTCCCAACAAAGTCAAGACCTGGTTCTGATGGCTTCATTTCTGACTTCTATAAAACTTTTAAGGAAGAGTTAACCCCCATTCTACTGAAGTTATTTTCAGAGATCCAAAAGGAAGGAACCCAATTCATTTTATGAAGCCTCCATCACTCTCATACCCAAAACAGACAAGGATATGACAAGGAAGGAAAACTACAGACCAATATCTCTGATGAATATAAATATAAAAATTCTCAACAAGGCACTAGGAAATTGTATCCAACAGCATATAAAAAAGATTATACAAAAAAAAAAATGATTATACATCATGACCAGGTAGGCTTTATTCCAGGGATGCAAGAGTGGTTCAACATATTCAAAAACATAAACAATACACCATATTAACAGAAAGAAAGATAAAAACCATATGATCATATCAATTGGTGCAGAAAAAGCATCTGATAAAACACAACATTTTTTCATGATTAAGACTTTCAGCAAAATTGGCATCAAAGGATTATTTCTCAACCCAATAAAAGCTATTTATGAAAAACCCATAGCTAACATCATACTGAATTGGGAAAAGCTGAAAAATTTTCCACTGAAAACTGGTACAGGACAAAGCTGACACTTTCTCCACTCCTTTTCAATATAGTGCTGAAAGTCCTAGCCAATAAAATCAGAAAAGAGAATAAAAAGACATTTAAATAGGGAAAGGAGAGGTGAAATTATCTCTATTTGCAGATGACATGACCCAAGGGTAGCCATGAAAAACTCCTGGAAGTAATAAATGAATACAGAAAAGTAACAAGATATAGAATCAACAGCATTTCTATATATAAACAAGAAGCAGACTACAGTAGAACTGAAGAAAGTAATTCCATAGCCACAAAAAGTATAAAATACCAAGGAGTAAATCTAACCAAAGAAGTCAAAGACCTCTACAAGGGGGAACCAGCAGTTAGCGTAATGGCTATGTCGCTGGACTCCCACGTAGTTGACTGCGGTTCACGTCCCGGACCCGGTGGCTTAAAACTCACGCCGGGCGTGTGTGCATGCGTGCCCAAGATCCCGAGAGGAGAATGGAGGAGAAGGGATTGTGGCGTGACCATCCCCCCTGGGGGGTGATTTCTCGCTTTCTGTCTCTAATGTCTCTCTCTGTCTGGCGAGCGCACGCGCCCTATAGTGAAAATCTCTCCAAAAAAAAAAAAAAAAACCTCCACAAGGAAAAACAATAAAATCCAAAAAAAAAGAAATAGAAAATGACACAAAAAAAGTAGAAGGACATACCATGTTCCTGGATTGGAAGAATTAACGCAATCAAAATAACAATTCTACTTAAAATAATCTATGTATTTAACACAATCCCAATCAAATTACCAGAGACATTCTTCGCAGATTTAGAAAAAAGCCACAGAATTTGCCTAGAACCATAAAAGACCCCATTTTGCCAAAGCAGTCCTGTGCAAGAGTGGAGTAGGAAGCATGTCACTCCAACCCCAAAATATATCACAAAGTTGTGATAATCAAACTAGCATGGTACTGGCACAAAAACAGACATGTTGACCAATGGAACAGAACAGAGACCCCAGAAATAAACCCAAAAATATACAGCCAACTATTTTTGACAAAGGGTACCAATCAATCTAATGGGAAAGGGAAAACCTCTTTAGCAAATGGTGCTGGAAAAACTGGGTATCCACCTGTAGAGAAATGACCCTATCTCTCACCATTTACAAAAATCAACTCAAAATGAATTAAAGATCTAAACCTAAGACCTCAAACTATAAAACTACTGCTGGAAAACACTGGGGGAACTCTGGGAGACATTGAGGTAGGCAATACTTAAATAAGACCCCCGAAGCACAGGAAGTAATCCCCAAAATAGACAAATGGGATTACATCAGATTAAGCAATTTCTGCACACAGCAAAAGACACAGTAACTAGTGTGAACTAACAACCCTTGAAACGGTAGAACATTTTTGTCAACTATGTCTCAGATAAGGAACTGATAACCAGAATATACAGGGATCTCAAGTGGCTTGCCTGAAAAAAAATAAAAAATAAAAAATAAAAAGACCAACCCAATTAAAAGATGGGAAAATGAGCTGAACAAATAACTCTAAGGAAGACATACGAACAGCCAAAAACCATATGAAAAAATGCTCAACATCCCTCATACGGCAGCTGCAAATCACAACCACAATGAGATACCACCTAACCCTAGTCAGAATGGCAAAGATTGAAAAACAAAAAGTGCTGGCATGGTTGTGGTGAAAGGAGGGGAAGTCTCCTATACTGCTAGTGGGAATGTAAATTAGTCCAGCCACTGTGGAGAACAATATGGAGGTTCCTCAAAGATTTACAAGTAGAACTACCATATGATCCAGCAACTCCACTCCTGGGTATCGACCCAAAGGACAGGAGAACACTTAGCTGGAAAAGTGCTTGTTTATTGTGGTATTATTCACTATTGTTTATATCTATGTTTATTGTGGTATTATTCACTATTGTTTATATCTATGTTTACTGTGGTATTATTCACTATTGCTAAGACATGGAACCAATTCAAATGTCCACAAACAGATGAAGAGATTGGAAAAAGTGTGGCATATATATACTCTGTAGAATACTACTCAGTCATTTAAAAAAAAAAAAAAAAAAAACAAGATCCTAGCATCTGATAGAAAGTGGGCAAGCCAGGCTATGAAAAAAGAGACATTGTTTTTCTCCATTTAATATATACTGACTGTGCACATTCTATGGCAGAAACTGAGAGATTTGAGAATATGGAAGTATGGAAAATGGTTATGGATTCTGGCAACAGGGTGGGAAGAGGGTGAGAGTGTGAGGAAAGAAATTAAGGAGAAAAATAGGCAAGACATTTATGGGACACAGAAATGAATTATCTGTTGATGATACTGTGTATAGTATCCTCAACCAGACTGTTGTGAAGTATATTCATGTTGGGTAAACTCACTTTACAAGCCAAGTGATGTACAGTGATTGAATGAATAAAATGAAAGAAAAAAAGAAAAAGAGGTATGTGCATGTGAAAGTGTTTATATCCTAGAGATGCCTAGATAGTGCATACTGAATTATTGGTTAAAAGAAGAGATGAAGTGGGAGGACGGGTCAAGAACAACAACAACAAAAGAGCTGAAAATGTGATGAAGAATTTTTGTGTGCTCCTGAAATTCTATCCTATTTCTGAAAATAATTTTTGAAAGGCCATCCAATAAATTTAAAAAAAATATATTCTTCAAAAAGAGTATTATATTCCTAGGTGTTGTTTTTGACTTTTATCCTATTTGTTATCTTCTTTTAAGCTTTCCTAATCCTATGGTTTGGCGTATATCATTCATTCCAAGAAATTCTCAGTCTTCAAGTATTTCTTGTGTTTCTTTTCATCTCTTTCTGGAATTCTCACCTTTTGTAGTTCTTCCCCAAGTCTCAGATATTCTGCCCTGGGCTTTCTTGTTTTTGTTTTGCTTTTTTGTCTTCAGTCTCTTTTCTCTTAACTTTTTAGTTTTGATGGCTTTTAATGAGATATCATCAACCTTAGAGTTTCTTTCCTGTATAGTAAAAAGCTCTTCAAAAATATTCTTCATTTATGTTATAGTGGTTTTTATTTTTTAGCATTTCTTATTTGTCCTTCCTTAGAATTTCCATATCTCAGCTTACAATGTCCACTTGTTCTTGCATGCTGTCTACTTTATGCATTAGGGTCCTTAGCCTCTTAATCACAGTTGTTTTAAATTCCCAGTCTGATAATTCTAACATCATTGCCACATCTGAATTTGGTTCTGATGCTTATTCTAGCTCTTCAAGATATGCTTTCTGCCTTTTAGTATATCTTATAATTTCTTTTTTTGCTAGTCAGACATGAAGCACTGGGTAAAACAAACTGTTGTATGTGGATCTTTAGTAATATAGTGATAAAGCTGTGGAGGGAAAAGAAGAGTACTATAAGGGGTCCTCCAAAAGTTTATGGAAAATAATGTGTTATGACAAAATGATGCATGAATTTCAAAATATTCCGTACTAAAATAAACTTGTATTTTTAAAAATTTGTCATAGGGCATGTACACTTGCCAGATAGAAGGAGAAAGAAAGAAAGAAAAATTGAGAAAGCAACCCCCCATGGGGACAATCAAGCTGCAATTCCTTCTCCTCCACTTCTATCTTTTAGAATTTGGCACATGTGCACACACACATGTGCCTGGCATGTTTCTCAAGTTGCCAGGTCCAGGACTCAAACTGCACAGTGGGCTACATGGAATCCAGCTCACATAACTGCTAGGCCAGGGGCTAGCCCTAAACTTGTACTTTAATTCCAGTTTTCCACAAACATTTTGAAGTCCTATGAGTAGGCCTGAGTCTTTTAGTAAGCCTGGTACCACCTAACTGTGAACTTACATATGTTCCCTTAGTTTGAACAGGATGGCTACAGTGAACCAGAATTGAATACTTCCTTTTTTCACAGAGAGGGAAGAGTTGGCTAGAGCAGGATAGAGGTCAGTTAGGCTCCGGTTTAACAGTTTCTCCTGAGGGTAGGTCTTGTCAAGAACAGAATGGGACTCAGTTAGGATGGCAAAGGTAGTCAGATGCCACTGCATGAAGCTGGAGTTGCACAGAGGACCCAAGTTTGGTTCCCAGATCAGCCTGAATATACCAGGCATAGTGACGATGGTGATGCATGCTTACCCTAATTAACTGGGACGTTAATGTGGGAGGATCACAGCATGGAGAGACTCTGTCAAAAATATCTATCTAATCTCTGTCTCTCTCTCTCTCTGACCAACTTGTGACCTGATAAGTTAAGGCAGCTAAACTCCCTTGTGGCCAGTCTTGTAATTGGACCCAGTGGCTTGAAGAGTGCATGTACATGAGTGCCCAAAATCCTAAAAGAAAGGAGAGATAAAGAAGGGATTGTGGTGTGACAATGTCCCATGGAGAGATGATCTCTCTCTGGCAAGTGTACATGCCCTCTGGCAAATAAAAAAGAAACAAAGAAAGAACAAAAGGTGAAACAAAAACATAAAATGAAAAAAGAACAACAGAACAGAATGTTCTGATCTATTTCAAATTATTTCCCTTTCCTTTCCCTCTGCCAGAAACAGGGAATTGGACTTTTTTCCTTTCTTCCTGATATTCATTGTGGCAATCTCATCAATTTTACCTTCATGGGAAAGTGAAATTCAAAAGTGTAGGTGGTCCCCTCATAACTTGGTCTCCTTAGAGTTTTTATCTCTTAGATGTCCACATTTGGCCCCTGCCTCCAGCAATTTGCTAGGAATAGTGCAAGTTCCCCTACCACAGCATTGGGTCCTACGAGATGTTTATGTTCACAGGTAGCTGTGATTCTCTATTTTCGATTATTGTTCTCTCCAATTTGGGGGCAGTGGTCAACCCTGTGACCCTCATATCTCTGATGGATCCAAGAGTTGTTGATATTTTAATATATTCAGTCATTTAATTGTTACTAGAATGAACTGAAACCTTCCAGCTTATGTTCAGACCAGAAACTAGAAGTTACCCTTGTTTCCTCTTGTGTGTGTGTGTGTGTGTGTGTGTGTGTGTGTGTGTGTGTGTGTTAACTGAAAGAGGGTAGGTGTGATTGTCAGAGAAGGACAGAGAGAGCAAGCACCCACCAGTGGGGCATGGTCACACAGCAATCCCTTCTCCTCCATTTCTCAATCCTATTGAGATTTGGGCACACATGCCAACATGTTTTTCAAGCTGCTAGGGCAGGGATTTAAATCATGATCACACACATGGTATCTGGCTCCCTTAATCTCTAGGCCATAGGACTAGCCCTTCTTTTCTTACTCAACATTTTTTCTTTGGGTATTAGTGTCTATTTACATAGAACTCCCATCTCCCAAGGGAATCCTGGCTCTCAAGGCTCTCCTAATCTACACTGTACTACCTTTCTTCTAACTTCCAAACCTATATATTCAATTGCTTACTAGACACTGACTCCTGAATGATTTACAGGTATTTCACATTCCAAAGGTCCTAAACTAAATTTCCTCTGCTTTAATACCTTGATATATTTTTTCCTGGCATTTCCTATCACAGTAAGAGGTTACCACCATTCACATACTTAGTGGTCCATACCTTCCACCTTTACAGAAGAGGTGACATCCTACTCCTTTGTAATATCTCTGTAACTTGGATATCACTTGTCTGTCACATGTATGTTTTGTCTATACATCTGTCTTCTTGCTAGACTGAGCTGCTCAAGTATGTTTTGTATACCCCTTGTACTCTGCATAGTGCCTGGAACACAGACAGTGTTCAATAAAGTTGGAACGAAGGGACAAATTCTAATCTTTTAGTCATACTAGTAACAGTGCACACTAGTGCAGTTGTTCTCACAGTGTAATGGCCAGTAGGACTCCAAATGTCCCAAGATACATCCCTCTGATCAGTCTGATTACAAGCTGCTGAAAGAATTTGGCTATTGTGTGAATTGGAACAGTCTTTTATTACAGTTCTTAGAGCTAGCATCAGAAAAAGTAAATTTCATTTAACTAAAGATTTCATTTTAATTGTTCCTTAAGACTATTTCTAAAATAAAAACTCACAATAAAAATTAAGACTCAATAATTACTATATATTGAGGGCTTAAAGAAGTGTTAATCTATATAAAATTAAGTTACTTCTTAAATATTACACCTGGAATGTAATTCATCATTTCTTCAAAAGTCTTTTTTGCTCCTTTTTGCTTATCTTGGAGAGAGCGAGGTTCAGTGTTTTCACAGAATATAGCATCTAAAAGAGAGTAAAAAGAAATATGTGTAGAATTTTCACCTATTTATACACAAAGTATTTCTTTACAGTGGAAATATTAATAAAAATGGCCTTCAAATATTTCATGGAAAATATATATTATGAAAAAAACTACACGTAGATTTTCAAGTTGTTTGCAATAAAATAAACTAGCATTTTTTTTGTGTTTGTTTTAATTTTTATCAGTTTGTTATAGGGTGCATGTGCTAGCCAAAGACAGACAGAGAAAGGGAAAGTGAGAAATCACCTCCCAGGAGAATGGCTACGCTGCAGTCCCTTCTCTAGTCTCCCCTTGAGATTTTGGGCATGTATGAACATGTGCCTGGCGTAATTTTCAAGCCACTGGGTCTGAGACTCAAACTAGTAGTTGCCCATATGTGATCTAGATGCCTTAACCTCCACAACATCTGCTGGCCCTGAACTGATATTTAATTCCATTTTTCCATGAACTTTTTGAAGTGTCCATGTAAACCAAAGAAAACCAAGGCTTCTTACTCTTTCAGAACCAATTAAAATCACTGAGTAAGCAAAACATGAAATGAATTCATGAGAAAATACGAACCTCTGAGAAGTGTTATGAGTGAGACTAAACGGTGCTCCTGAAATAGCTGTTCCAGTTTACACTGCAGATAGTAGTCAGTATACATTTCTAGGGTGTTTTTAAAGAGGATTCGAGTTCCCATTAAGAGATGATGAAGCCAGTCAGGAACTTGGAAAACTGTTCGTCCTGAGAAGGATCAAATGGAATATTTCACTGTTCAAGATAGATATTTTTATTTTTTTAAAAAATTTGGTTTTGGAGAAGTTTTTGCTATAAGGTGCGTGTGCTTGCCAGAAAGACAGAGAGAGACAGAGAAAGCAAGAAATCACCCCCCCCCCCAGGGGAATGGCCATGCCACAAACCCTTCTACTCCATTCTCCTATCGGGATATCTTGGGAACGCACACACACGCGCCTGACGTGAATTTAAGCCACCAGGTCCGGGACTCGAACCGCAGTTGACGACATGGGAGTTCAGAGACATAGCCATTACGCCAACTGCTGGTCCCAAGATAGATATAGATATTTTTTAAAGAATTATTTAATTTTATTTATTATCATTATAATTACTTTAAAATTTTGCTATAGGGCATGCGTGCTCACCCAAGAGAAGTAAAGATATAAGAAAAGTGAGAAGGCAAGTCACCAGCTCTAGGACTAAAACAGCAGTCAGCCATGTGGGAGTCTAGCACTTTAACTACTACACTACCTCCTGGCTCCCAAGAGAAATTTTTTAACACTTCCCAACATACAAATCAGAAATGACAATGGTCAATATTTCATTTGTAAACACTAGTAATTTTTAAATGTTCACAACTAATTAAATTATATTCTTATAAAAGATTTATCTTTAGTAAAAAAAATAGTTACAATGAGGCAATATTTAAGAGCACTAATCTGCATCACAGAGGAAATAAGATTAATCTAAAATGGGTGGGTCTTGGGCTAGCTGTTGGTATGGTGGTTAGCGCAACTGGACCCTACACAGCCAACTGCATAGCTCAAGTCCTAGAGCTATAGCTGCTTGAAAAACACACCAGGTTGTGTACATGTATATCCAGAATCCTAAGAGAAAAATGGAGAAGGGACTGTGGTATGGCCATTCCTTCTGGAGGAGGTGAATGGGCATGCTTTCTAAACTTTCCCTCTTTCTCCAGCAAGCACACGCCCCCTATAAGCAGGTTAAAAACAACAACAAAAGAACACAGGTAGGTCTTAACATAAATTACTTAGCCTTACCCACATACATCAGGTAATCATAGACTCCATCTATAGTCATCACTTCCATAAAGTAGTTCTGATTTTGCTTTCTCTCTGTATTTTCAGCACGGTTTGCATTATTCTTAAACAGATCATTGAAAAGCTAAAGTAAAAATTAAAATAAGAAATATATAGCTTATTGCTTGTGGTGATGAGAATCACTTAGAAGTGACACAGAGCAAAGACATTTAAACCTTTCCAATTAAAACAGCATATCAAGTTAAGATGTGTTTCCAAATCTCCACATTTATTTTTAGTGCAATTTTAAAATTCCATTAAAATACATGTCCTCCCCCAAATGTTACATTAAAAACTGCATTCATATTGAAAACAATTCATTACCCACAAAATATACCTCCTTTGTTTTTATATATCAAAAGGAGAAAGTAACAAATAAAGATATTATTAATAGCTAAATTTAAAAGTAACACGATTTAAAGACTGTAAATTACTATCAAATTAATAAGTAGAGATGAAAATTCAACTTTAAGCCAAGTTTATTTGGACAATAATATTCAGAGTCTATTATCCATAATAATAGTCAAATATATCTTAGGTAACAAATTTTAACAAAGGCATTATTTCATTTATTCATATACCCTTCCAATAAACATTTATTAAGTTCATTCTGTATGAAATAACATGCCAAGAACAGGGAATAGAAAGATAAATCAGTGTCCTCCAAGAAATTTAACATTTCTTTTTTTTTTTTTTTTGAGAGGTTTTTGCTATAGGGCACGTGCACTTGCCCGAAAGACCGAGACAGAGAGACAGAAAAGAAATCCCCCCGCAGAGGGGATGGCCACACCGCAATCCCTTCTCCATTCTCCTCTCAGGATCTTGGGCACGTAAGCACACGTGCCCAGTGTGAAGTTAAGCCACTGGGTCAGGGACTCGAACCACAGTCGATTACATGAGAGTCCAGTGACATAGCCATTATGCCATCTGCTGGTCCGAAATTTAACATTTTTAATAGAAATAAAACAGACACTACAAGGGAAGTAATGCATAGAAGACTGTGGAAGAAAGTGTATTTAATTTTACTTGAAGATGAATTTTTAACTTGTCCTAAAAATGTTTCATGAGAACAGGGACTGTATATCCTTCTTGGATAATATTCTTCATCCTTTTGTCAGATATTCTTAACCAGAGGTATAGGTTTACAATATTTTTCTGGGCCACCAGGTGGCATGGAAGTTAAGGTGACTAGATCTCACATGGCCAACTGTTCAGTTTGAGTCCCAGACCTAGAAGACTGAAAAATACGCCAGATGTGTGTGCATATGTGCCCAAAATCTAGAGAGGAGAATAGAAGAAAAGGGATCATGGGACGGTCATCTCTCCTGGGGGGTAATTTCTCACCTTCTCTCCCTCTCTTGCTCTCTTACACTTTTTCTTTCTTCAGCAAGTACACATGACCCCTTATAGCAAACTAGAAAAATGAAAAATTAATTTCCCCCAACCTAAGTAACAAGAAAAAGACTCTCCTTCCTGATAAATTTCCCCTATTCTTCTACATTCTTTTTTTTTTTTTTCTGGAGAGGTTTTTTTCGCTATAGGGTGCGTGCGCTCGCCAGACAGAGAGAGACATAGAGACAGAAAGCGAGAAATCACCCCCTGGGGGGATGGTCACGCTGCAATCCCTTTTCCTCCATTCTCCTCTTGGGATCTTGGGCACGCACGCACACGCGCCCAACGTGAGTTTTAAGCCACTGGGTCCGAGACACGAACTGCAGTCAATTACGTGGGATTCCAGCGACATAGCCATTACGCTAAACTGCTGGTTCCCTTCTACATTCTTTTTTAATTGACAAAGGACATATGCACCCACTTGAAACAGAGATACTGAGAGACACAGAGAGAGTGAGAAAAAGCAATCCCAGTGGGGCATGGTCATGTCACAAACCCGTCTCTTCAATTTCTCTACCCTGTTGGGATTTGGGATGTGCACACTTACGCACACACACACACCCTGTGTGTTTATCAAGCCACTAGGCTAGGACTCATATCATAGTTGGCCATGTGGGATCTGGCTCCTCTAACACAGCAAGCCAGAGGGCTGACCCAACTCTTCTGTATTTGTAGATAAATATTTTCATTAGAAAATAAAGCTGATAATGTTATATCATACATAACAGATATACAAATAATTGTGAGAATATTATGAATCATATATGCCTATAAGCTAGAAAACCTGAATGAGATGAACAAATTTCTGGACACATATAAGCTACCTAGATCAAACCAGGAAGAAACAGAAAGCTTAAACAGACCAATAAAAAGCAGTAAGTTTGAATCAGAGATAAACAGCCTCCTCACAAGGAAAAGTCCAGATCTCAAAGGCTTTACTTTTGAATTTTACAAAACTTTTAAAGAAGAGTTAACCCCAATTCTCTTCAAGGTATTTCTAAACGTTTAAAAGCAAGGAAATCTTCCAAATTCATTTTGCAAAGTCTCTATCACCTTGATACCAACAGCAGACAACGATAAAACAAAAATAAATAAATAAATAAATACATAAATAAAACTACAGATCCATATCCCTGATGAATACAGAAGAAAAAATCCTCAACAAGGTACTAGCAAACTGAATCCAACAGCATATTAAACAGAGTATACACTAGGACCAATAGGTGGCATGGTGGTTAAGGCACTGAACTCACACAGTCGATTGCAGCTCAAGTTCCAGACCAAGCTGTGGCTTGAAAATCACTCCAGGGGTGTTTGTGTGCACGCATGGCCAAATCCCAAGAAGAGAATGGAGGAGAAAAGAACTGCAGTGTGGCCATCCCTACTATGAGGGTGATTTCTCACTTTCCCTCTCTCTCTGTCTCTCTAGTGTGAGTACATGCCCTATGGCAAAACCTTAAAAATAAAAATTTAAAAAAAGATTATATATTATGACCGGTAGGTTTTATTCCAGGGATATAAAGACAATTTAACATACATAAACAGGGACCAGCAGATGGCAAAATGGTTATGTTGTTGGACTCTCACAAGGCTGACCACAGTTCAAGTCTGAGACCCAGTGGCTTGAAACTAACGCCAGATATGTGTGCGTGGGGGACCAAAATCCAGAAAGGAGAGTGGAGGAGAAGGGACTGTGGTGTGGCCTTCCCCCTGGGGGCTGATTTCTTGCTTTCTGTCTTTCTTGTCTTTCTCTGTCTCTCCAGCAAGTGTACATGCCCTATAGCAAAATCTCTCTAAAAAAAGAAAAAATAAATACATGAAACAATAAATGTAATATAAAATGTTAACAGAAAGAAAGATAAAAACCTACGATCATATTGGGCTAGCAGGTGACACAGAGATTAAGGTGGCTGGATCTCATATGACCAATTTCATGGTTTGGCTTGAGAACTGGACCTGGTGGCTTGAAAAACATACCAGGTGTGTGTGCACATATGCCCAAAAATCCCAAGGTGAGAATGGAAAAGAGGGGACTACAGCGTAGTCATCTTTCCTGGGGGAGAGGAGGTTATTTCTCTCTTTCTATCTCTCTCTGGTAAGTGGATGTGCCATATAGCAAACTAAAACGAATAAAAAAAAAAAAAAAAAAAAGAAAGGAAAAAACTGATATGATCATGTCAATTGATGTTAAATGGCATTTAATAAAATAAAATACAACATCCTTTCCTGATTAAGACTTGGCAAATTATGTCTAGAAGAGACATTCCTCAACACTGTAAAAGCCACACATGACAAATCCTCTTAAGTCTCATGGCCTCACATTTCACTTGCATGCACAAAAATCTATAGCATTTTTATATACTAATAATGAAATGATTGAAGCAGAACTAAAGAATGTAATCCCATTTGTAATAGCGAAAAAATAAATAAAATAAAATAAAATACCTAGAAATAAACCTAGCCAAAGGGGTGAAAGACCTCTATACAGAAAACTATAAAAAATTGAAAAAAGAATTGCCCATGGTTATTAAAATATTATTAACATGGGACCAGCAAGTAGTGTGGTGGTTGAAGCACTGGATTCTCACATGGCCTACTATGGTTTGACTCCCAAACCTAGTGGCTTGCTTTTTCACTTTCCTTCCCTCTCTCTCAGTCATTCTCTGGTCAAATTAAAAAAAATAATAATAATTTAAAAATATATTATTAACACAACAGTGCAAGTTAAAAACACAACCCTATTCTCTCATATCTGGCACCTCCAGAAAACAAGTGACTTTCCCTTCTTCCTGACTGTAATATGAAATATACCTAACGTTGGACTGTATGTGACAAAGTTACCAATTTAAGCCAATAGTTGTCTCTTGTTATTTTGTAAAGTAGCTGAATGTTAAAAAATAAATTTCAAATCATTTGGGCTTGTATGCTTTTACAGGATAGCTCCACATATGGATGGGTACGTGTATCTGGGGAAGGACTTCAATGTATCTGTTATTGATCTTATTGTCAATTGACCTACCTACCTATTCATTTAAATAGTGACAATTTTGTTCATTATTGCTACATCTACTGTGGAGATTCAAATAGTATTTGTATCAGTGCCTGAGATTGCCTGAGATTGTTTCTCTTCAAATATAATGAGAGATGGCAGCAACAGAATATTTTTGTAAAATGGAAAAAAAAAAAAAGTAGTAATATAATTAAATCTAAGAAAGACAGGGAGAAAACAACCCAACCACCTAATAAAATAGCTATTATAATTCTGAGTATTCACTTCTAGTCTATGTACATAGCTGTAATCGATGGGGCTCAAAAAATACCATGCCCTACTTTTTTCACTTAGCTCCCTATCAAATACCTTTACACTGCTTTACAGTTCTCTTAAATATAAGGGGTCTTCAAAAATTCATAAAAAATGCAAATTACAGAAAAATTACACAGGGATTTAAAAAATATATGTACCAAAATAAACTTGTATTTTAAAATTCAATTTTCCATGAGCTTTCTGAAGTTCCCTCATATAATTTTAACTGGTGAAAATAGTTCTTGAGGAGGCGTTCCTTAAAATAATCATTCTTGTGGGATCAGCAGATGGCGTAATGGTTATGTTGTTGGACTCCCACGTAGTCAACCATGGTTCGAGTCCCAGACCTGGAGGCTTAAAGCTCACGCTGGGCACATGTGCGTGCATGCCCAGAATCTTGAGAAGAGAACAGAGGAGACAGGATTGTGGCACGGCCATCCCCTCTGTGGGGTGATTTCTCACTTTCTGTCTCTCTGTTTCTCTATCTCTCCTGTGAGCACATGGGCCCTATGGCATAAACCCTCTCCCACAAAGAAAAATAAATTCTTGTAACAGAATTTCATGTTATTCACAATTTTTCATTTTTATAAATAATAGTTAAATAAATATCCTCATACATTGTAAATTAGGTTCTTCTAAAAGAAATTCCTAGTATTTGGCCACAAATCAAAGAGCATAAACACCTGATAGATTTTTGTTACACAGTACCAAATTCCTTTCCTAAAAGGCTGGGGCTATTTATAAGCCACCACTGAAGTAAACTTCCTATGTTAGCAAACTCTCCTAAACTATAGTACAGACTTAACTCCTTTGGACCAAAATTGAAAGTCCATGGTAATTCCTTCTTCCTGAAATTTCCCAGGGTTAATCTTCTATAATCCAACTCATTAGGCCTTTCATATGCTATCACTCACAAAAATTTGCATATATAGGGAACCAGCAGTTAGCGTAATGGCTATGTCACTGGACTCCCACGTAGTTGACACTGCAGTTCGTGTCCCGGACCCAGTGGCTTAAAACTCACGCCAGGCACGTGTGCATGTGTGCCCAGGATCCCAAGAGGAGAATGGAGGAGAAGGGATTGCAGTGTGACCATCCCCCCGGGGGGTGATTTCTCACTTTCTGTCTCTATGGCTCTGTCTGTCTGGCGAGCACACGCGCCCTATAGCAAAAATAAAAAAAAAGCATATATAGTAAAAACCACCTAAAAAGAATTTCATATGCTGGACCCATAGCCTGGTGGTTAAGGGAGCCAGATCCCACATAGCTGACTGCGAGTAAGGTCCTGGCTCTGGAAGTTTGAAAAAGATTCTGAGCATGTTTCTGTGTGTGTCTAAAACCCAAAAAGATGAAAGAGAAGGGACTGCCATGTGACCACTGAGGGGGTGCTTTCTCTCTCTCTTTCTGACTCTGGTGACAGCATGCATCCCCTGGAAATTAAAAAACAAAAATAAAAACAAAATGAAACAAAAAAACCTAAGAATTTCTTACATCTTTCAAACAATTTTGAGTTTTGAATACAAAGTATATTCAGCACAACAATCCTAAGAGGACAGGTATTACCAAGACTGATGAGCTGCACTTGTGACTGTTTCTTGGGAGACAGAACTATTACTGTGGATGGCTGAGATTTAATCTGAGAACCACACAGATGAGCAGAGGGGAGGAAAAAGTTAAGGCCCATATCTCAACTTCTCCTCTTAAACGTTTCATCCTTTTTATTTTATATTGATACATAATAGAATTTTTGTTTTCAATAAAGATAAATGTAGGTGCCTTTGGGTTGTGTGCTAGATCCCCCATGGCCGACTAAATAATCAAGTCCTGGACCCAGCAATTTGAAAAACATACCAGGCACATGTGCATGCATGCCCAGGATCCCAAGAGGAAAACAGAGGAGAGGGGATTGCAGTGTGACTATGCAACCTGGGGGTGATTTCTTGCTTTCTGTCTATTTCTCTGTCTTTAGAGCATGTCAGCAAGTGCACATGCCCTAAAGCAAAAATCTCTCTCTCAAAAAAAATTAAGTTACAATAAAAAAAATAGACTCAGAGAGGGCCAATCCGTGGCCTGGTTGTTAAGAAAGTTAGAACCCAGGGGCCAGTAGGTAGCATGGTGACTAAGGCACCAGATGGGTGACCACGGTTTGAGTCCCGGACCTAGTGAAGCTTCCCATTTCCCCCCTCTCTCTCTCTGGTCAGATTAAAAAATAATAATAATGAATACATTTTTTAAAATTATTATTTATTGGGACCAGCAGTTAGCGTAATGGCTATGTTGCTGGACTCCCACTTAGTTG